GGGTTTTTTTCAAAACCAAAATTTACGGTTAATAACGAGATATGTCTTTATTAAAATGGTTACACCCTCTTTCACAATAAAATTGACTAGGGGACTCAGTTTCGGTTTTTCGCGTGAATCCATAACTACCAACCAGAAGGTAGTTGGTTATTCGAATATAACATGTATTTCTCTGAAAGACGATTATTTTTCAGAATAAAAATAACAATTATATGGTAAGATGGATACATTCTACCAAATCCCGTTTCCCTACGTCGACCAGGGGACAGCGCAAATCCCCTAAAACACTCAAACATTTGTACTGTATCAATTCTATATCAATGGTTAAAAATGAGTTTACCGAAAATGAATGGGTATATAATTTTAATGAATGTGACTATTTTGTTTATATCCTTTTCCTTTCATTCAATGGTTAATTCCAGTAAAAATGTACTGTATTTTAATATGTTATTAAAACACTCGCCTAGCATTAAACAGCTACGTTAACCCGGACGGGCACCTGAGTTCTTCCTTGGAACGTCGCAATATGAGCCACGCCATGACAAAACCAACATAATGGGTTTGCGACCAGCATTGATTCAGACCAGCCTGAGCATCCGCGCAGTTTGATCAGGATCTATGCTGTTTGCTATCAGTTTCTCTACTTGTAATATGGTTTGTAAGCTAACAGCATGGGTCCTGATCAGACTGCGCGGGTGCGCAGGCTGGTCTGGATCCATGCTGGTCGCAAACCCATTATGTTGGTTTTGTCGTGATGCGGCTCAAATGAAGTGAAGAAACCCATTAGATATCAAGAAATCAATTTGATCAATTTGTCGTACAGACGAACATTCATTAGATATCCGGTCAACAATTTACTATTTAACAATTAACTTACATTTTCATAAAACAATTGACATAAATCTACGTAGCCTCATTATCTTTATGATTTTCGTAAAATCGACAGATGGTACTTATTGTCATTATTATGACATTGTATTTTGTGAAAAAAATTGACAAAATGTAAAAGATATGCAAATGTAGATTAAGATATGTTATAAATGTATCGTTGCAGATTTTTTCCATCATCATTTTGTCAATTAGTAACTGGCAGATGTAGGGAAATGTAATATTATTCCGTTTTCAACTTTTTTTCAGTCTCAATCACCACTTTTGTTCTATATCAGTAATTTTATCATTTGTTTCTTAAATTATGTTTATCCTGTTTTAACTTGAATTGTGTGATATTATGTGCTGTAAGTCTAGTCAAAATATGTAAAAATAATTGAAATCGAACTGATAATATTTAATTGAAAGTATTTATTTGCACTGATATAAGGCTCTCTATGTCATGCCAATTACACAGTTGACCACAATGGAAATAATAGTCTCTCTTTTTTTGTGGTATCCTTGGTGCCGATGTCCTGATGGCTTATTTATTCACACGTATGAGTTAAATATTTGTACCATACATGTTGTTTTGGTTTAAACATATTTTATTCTTTCTCACATAAGCATATTTACATACATGATAATTATTTACAATCAAAACAAGAAAAGGATTAGACTGGAAGCAACCTAATGCTTATTGAAGTCTTTTCCCAATGTACAATAAATATATGTGCTAAATAAGGCGAAATAAATTGTCGTTTGTTGACTTAGAAGGCTGATGTGTTACAACTTGCATCGAAAATGAATAGACAAATATAAGATATATCAATTATTTAAAGAAAAGCAAAATAAGACTAATAATGATAATAGTTTGATATGTTCAGATAGAAACATGTTGTTTTAATTGTCCATGTATATTTATTACATACCGAAATCAACCAACCAGCCAACTAATAGTGAAAAAATGTTAGAATTGAAGATGTTTCCAACTGTAATGTCAAAAATTGAATAGATTCATTCGCCATGTTCTCGAGACTCAAGTCATTTGTATTTAAATAAAAAAATCTATTAATCGAAGTCTACTGACGAAAATGCCATTAATACCCGTCGCATTTCTCACAAATATTCTATGCGCACTTATTCTTAGTTTATTTCACAAACGTCATATTCTAGTAATGTATTTAAAGTGTAAAGAACACTGTAATCTATGTCCAACTCTTTCCCTATAACATAAACTACGGCCGGATCTGAGGCTATGTTAAGTAATGCAGTAACGTTAGCATTCATGCCAACTGAAACTATTCCCAATATAACGCCCATGTCTTTTAAAGTTTTTGCTTCAGAGATCAAATCGTCAAATATTTCATCTTGGAAGTCTCCGCTTGTTACTAGTAAGGCTATTTTTCTCACGTTTGTTCTGGCTCCATTTGCAACAACGAAAGCATGCTGCAGTAATTTAAGCGCGTTTGTGGTATTTCCGTTTTCGGGTGACTGCGTAATGCCATTTAGTTTTATGACCATATCTCGAGATGAGAAATATTCGTCAAGGTTGAAAACGACGTCAACATCATTAGAATATTGGTATAAACTGACATGAACATTGTCTGGCCCGAGTGAAATGACCTTGAGAAGATCTCCAACAGCAGATATTTGCTCATAAAATGTAACCGGTGATATATCACTTGAACTGTCAAAAATTATAGATAAATCGCCATAACGGTGATCACAATCTGAAACAAAATATGAGATGAATGGAAAATAAGATCTGAGGACAGTCTTAAAAAGTTTCCTCATCAAAATCATCTGGCATTGCTCATAGATATTGGTTAAGTTATAAGAAATATATAGTATCCTTTCAAAGCAGCTGCAAGAATATTTGACTTTAAGAAGCATGCCTCCAGATTCATGCTGAATTTCATGAAAACTTTTGAAATGTAAATAAAGTTTCCTTTTAAAAGGAAAGGCTTGCACAGTTGTGCCTTCATCCCAACCCTTTAAAATTGTTTTTTTTTTGTTTCAATTTATTATCACATTTTTTTTTGAATTAAGGTATTTGTATATCATAAAGGGTTTATTTAGTTCTCTTATCTCTATTGTATAAAACTAATAAAGAAAATGATCAATCGTAAAAATACTAACGTGATACTGAAGTCTGAAGGAAAACAAGTGTGCACATTTCATTTCCCCTTTTTCGCAGCGAAATCATTCCTTTGCTTTATGTAATAGAAAGAGCACCGAAACACGAGGCTATCTGATTTGTACGAGGGGGCGTAGCCCCCGAGTATTAATCAGATTGCCGAGTGTTTTGGTGTTCTTTCTATTTTGTATCATAGTCAAACATGACAGCACGTTCCCTGTTGTCATAATATGAAACCCCGGAAAAAAATAACCAATGAACGAGCATTTGAATATGATAGTTCTGCCCCTTTCTCTTTCTCTGCCGTCACAATATGTAAACCCCGGCAAAAATGAACCAATCCACGGGCATTATCTGGAGTGCGGGTAACTGATACCTGCACTCCAGTTACCGCACTGTGCATGTATATGTATACGATTTAACTCTGACACTTTTTCAACAGAAAGGTCCCCAAACTATGATACAAGTAATAGAAAGAGCACCGAAACACGAGGCTATCTGATTTGTACGAGGGGGCGTAGCCCCCGAGTATTTATCAGATTGCCGAGTGTTTTGGTGTTCTTTCTCTTTTGTATCATAGTCAAACATAAAAGCACGTTCCCTGTTGTCACAATATGAAACCCCGGCAAAAATGAACCAATGAACGAACATCTGAATATGACATTTCTGTCGCTTTCCCTTTCTCTGCCGTCACAATATGTAAACCCCAGCAAAAATGAGCCAATCAATGGGCATGCTCTGGAGTGCGGGTAACTAATACCCGCACTCCAGTTAACGCACGGTGCATGTATATGTATACGATTTAACCCAGACACATTTTCAACAGAAAGGTCTCCAAACTATGATACAAAGACAAGTAAATGCACTAATTAAGAAGCATGTATCAACTATGTTACACGATCACAAATAGACGATGCGCTATGGAACGCCGTGACTGTCTTATGCTATCAATGTTTTTGCTATCTTGTGAAATGGTAATATTATTTTGTCATTTAAGCATATAAACATGTGCAATTTACATCATATCTTGTCTAAAGACAATGCTGACTTGTTCAAACAGCATGTTAACTTGTCAAATAATCATTATGACATGTGCAGACAACATGTTAACTTGTCAAAGTATCATGATGACTTGTGCAAACGACATGTTAACTTGTCAAAGTATCATGATGACTTTTGCAAACAACATGTTAACTTGTCAAAATATCATGATGACTTGTACAAACGACATGTTAACTTGTCAAGATTTCATGATGACATGTGCAAACAGCATGTTAACTTGTCAAATTATCGTGATGACATGCTCATAATACTTTAACAAGTTAACATGTGTTTTGCACAAGTCATCACGATTATTTGACAAATTAACATGTTGTCTGCACAAGTCATCATGATACATTGACAAATTAACATGGCATTTGCACAAGTCATCATGATACATTGACAAGTTAGAATGTAGTTTGCACAAGTCATCACGATACCTTGACAAGTTAACATGCTGTTCGCACATGTCATCATGAAATTTTGACAAGTTAACATGTTGCTTTCACAAGTCATCATGATACTTGGACAAGTTAGCATGTTGTTTGCACATGTTATCACGATGATCTGACATGTTAACATACTGTTTGCACATGTCATCATGAAATTTTGACAAGTTAGCATGGCATTTGCACAAGTCATCATTATACTTGGACAAGTTAACATGTCGTTTGCACAAGTCATCATGATACTTTGACAAGTTAACATGCTGTATGCACATGTCATAACGATAATTCGACAAGTTAACATGCTGTTTACACATGTCATCATTGAATTTTGACATGTTAGCATGGTATTTGCACAAGTCAGCATGATACTTTGACAAGTTAACAGTGCGTTTTGACATGTCAGCATGATACAAGATGACATGTCATTTGCACAAGTCATCACGATTCTTTGACAAGTTCACATGTTGTCTTCACAAGTCATCATGGTTATTTGACATGTTAACATGCTGTTTGCACAAGTCATCATTATACTTTGACAAGTTAACATGCTGTTTGCACATGTCATCACGATATTTCGACAAGTTAACATGTCCTATTCACAAGTCATCATTATACTTTGACAAGTTAACATAGCGTTTGCACAAGTCATCATGACATTTTGACAAGTTAACATGCTGTTTGCACATGTCATCACAATAATTTGCCAAGTTCACGTGACGTTTGCACAAGTCATCATTACATTTTGACAAGTTACCATGTCATTTGCACAAGTTATTGTTATACTTTGACAAGTTAACATGTTGTTTGCACAAGTCATAACGATACTTTGACAAGATAGCATGTTGTCTGCACATGTCATCATAATAGTTTGACAAGTTAACATGCTGTTTGTACAAGTCAACATGTTCATTTGACAAGACATGATGTAAATTGCACATGTTAACATGCTCAAACGACAAAATAATATCATCGTTTCACAAGATAACAAAAACATTGATTACATAAGACAGTTACGGCGTTCCATAATGCGCTATGTGGCAAGGTTAATGATATGCATGGGCTATTTTTAGATTACCTCACCAGTTCAGTAGATCTAAATATAACTCGATCATGCAGGACCACCCTTTGAAGACGGAATACTACTACCATTCTCTACTGGGATCCTTCATATTACCGGACAAAATATGAAGTTTTTTATCTGTAACTTTTATTTAAAATAATAAAAAAAAAACATGGAATTTTACCCAAATTAAATTTGGGTTCATAATGCACGTAAACACTCCTTTATCAAACATGAAGTTTAACATTTGACCGTAGAAATGTGTATTTAAAGTAGGGCATTATAAGAGGAAAAAGATCGTGTAAACAACTCAATTTACCGGACATTGTGTTTCAAAAAATTTTGTCGTGAATTGAAATTAATCTTTAAATAATCAGCAAGGAAACTACGACTATTGAATGGCAAGGTTAAGATATCTGAAAAACCCAGAAGGTCACTAAAAATAGACACGGCAGCCATGCCTGTTATGAAGAGGCCAATATATAGGGTGTAATTGAAATTAACACTAGAAACACTATTAACTCAATTTACGTATTGATTCTTCATGATCCTTAAACCTATGAAACATTTTAATATTCAAATGGAAATATGTTCTTTGTCATACAGTTTCTTTTTGGTTAACATGTAGCATGTTACAAAAGCCATAAAATCTATTTTATTTACATTTCATGTAAAACTCCTCCCATGGGCATAACCCGTTTCCTTGTATGTTTTTTAATTTGCAATTCTTTGTAAAAGACAACAACGAGATACTGCTTAGACTAAATTTAAAATAACTTTTTATCATTAAATTATGTTACGATTGTCTCTTGAGGTAACATTGACAAGAATTAAAAGTAAAACCTATCTAAAAAACCCATTAAGGGTCTCCATATTCGGGTCTGCGCAGAACAGATTATGTAGCGTGTACCGAGCTGTTGGTTATCTAATCTATAGCTACAAAATAAAATGATTTTAAACCACAAGATTATCAAATGCAAATATATTATTTTTCTTGGGATACTTATCCGAAATGATTTGAAATATTCAAATATAAATTTTCCTTGTGGTTTCTTAACCTTTTGATTATATTTTAACTTAATAAAAAAAACTCTAGAAATTATAAAATGCAAAAATAACAATCTTCAACTAATACTTTAATTATCCAAAATATATATTTCAAGAAGCAATGAAACTCTATTTATTCTTACTTTCAAACTAAAATTTACATTCCTAAATCTATCTCTTATTTCTAACTTTAATATTTCAAATCAACAAACTCTTATCATAAAACGTCCAGAAACCGATTCTTCAAATAATGTCTTCAAATAAACTCTTCTCTATCAAACACTTGTCCAAGAGGTTTTACTTAGGCAATAAGGTATTTTTAGCACCAGTATCTAAGATGCCTGGCTACTAGTAAATACAATATTACCTATATCCAACTCTTGCAAGGACAACAGGCAGACTAACTATTTAAATCATAAAATATTTTCTAAAGAAGTAAAGATATTTTTAGCACCAGTATCTAAGATGCCTGGCTACTAGTAAATATAATTACAACTTAACGGTCCGGAGCCAAAACCAAATCTAACCGAAAATATATTTCTTCAAATAATTTATGCCCAAGGAATTTTACAGAAATCATAAAACGTCCTTAGTACCAGAAATCTGAGATTTTTGCGTACCAGTAAGTATTTACTACTTCGTTTCCACTCTCCAACGGACAGGACCAGACTGAATTTTAACACTGAACTCGCTCTATTTATATGCTGGTGAAGCATCATCTCCGCAGTGAATAAAAACAATGATTTTGATTGGCTAAAATAATAAAACGTTTCTTGAAACTGATTTTAACTAAACTTTATAAGCGTCGGTCACTAGAATTGACTTCTCTTACAAACTATTTTGAGTAACAGATAAACAATTTCAAATATAAACACTTTGATGGATACCCTAAAATTTATACACATTTGATAGTAAAAATACCTAAAAATACCTAAAATACCTACTCTTTATATCATGTCAAATTTAATAGATTACTTTATTTATTTCTTTAATACA